AGGAGAGACTGACCCTTCCCTCCCAGGGGGTTTCTTACCAGATTTTCCTGGGGTCGCGCCCCACCCTCTGGCAGCCAGTCCATTTTGGCCGTTCCGATCCAGCCCGATCCGGCCCCTTGCCGAGGCGGCCTGGCAGGGGGCCAGCCGTGACTCAGCAGGAAGAATTAACCCTGCCAGGCCCGGCTGTTACTGGCAAGGAGCGCTTGGTAAGACTATCTCCTTGATGGGAGCAGCTTTCCGGGCGGCGGGGGGTGAAGGGCAGCACCGGGCAGACCCGGTCCCAAAGAAAGGAAGAGGAGGCAAAGCGGCCGCTGCCGGAGGGTTCTGGAGAGTTACCTGAATCACTGCGGTGGCGGTGGCGGAAAGGCCAGCCCCCTCGAGATCCGACGCCTGCAGGGTCAGAGTGTACCGGGGGACTTTCTGGAAAGGAATAATTTCATTGGGGAGGGGGCAGCAGAGCCCCATAAGGCTAAAAAGGGGCATCTCCTTGCACCCGCGGGCCTTTGGGATTGCGACAGTGCTGCTGTGAGTCCAACAGCTGGCAAGGGCAGCGTGGCACAAAAGTTGACCCTGATGGCTGGGGAAATGGAGATGCCTTCTTGCCTACGCAAAGTTGTAGCTCCTGAGAAAAGCCAGAGAGGGGAGCAGAGGGCGAGGGGGACGTGTCCTTCCCAGCCACCGACCAGCTCTGGCTGAGGCGCGAGCAGAGGGGGCCAGAGGGGCAGCCAAGAAGCCGTGTGTGCTGGCCTGCCGGTGGCATCGGGCCAGGCTGGAGGCGGGCATGAGGGGGCTGGACGGGAGGAGAGGAGCTGAGATCGAGTCGCAGCCAGAGGGAGGTGCTGCTTGTTGGAGCCGTCTGGGGTCTCGCCTGCCCCAGTGATTGCTCTTGACGACTGTGGGGGGGCGGCTGGTCCTCCAAGAACACTGGCCCTGGCGACGGCCTTTCACCCCTAGACCTGAGCACTGCAATGCGCTCGAGTGCTTCATGGAAGCAGGCTGGGTGCCGGCAGGTGAGCACCATCAGTGCCACTGCGGGCACTGCCTTGGCTTCTGTGGCGTGAGGGGATTCTCCAGAAGGTACCGAAACACACAAATGAGCTAGTGATCTTGGTTGTGACGTTTAGGATTAGAAGTTCACCTGGAAGCCAAACTAAATCCCATCATGAGGGCGATTCCAGGTGATTAGGAGCAAACTGTTAACATCTCAGACAGCGAATGAGCATCACAGAGTCACGTCGGCTGTGACGTAAGCAAGAAGCGTGCTTTGGGGTCACCCGAGCGCACAGGGCGCAGGGGCTCACCCAGGGGCTCCACAGCGGACACGCCTGGCCTGAGCAGCCCCCCTTGAAGGGTATTGGCTCCTCCCTCGCCGGCTGATGGGTAAGACACCAACGAAAACTACTTTGCCTCTCTTTTCCGTGTGACTGTAAACTTGGAATCTAAGTTTGAGAAACTGGGCGGAGGCGTCCCTGTTCCGCACGCGGCAGTCTAAATGCTTTCCTCTTCCTTTGTTAAGCGCACGGCAAGGAGCGCGAGCGCCAGCTGGGGCACACGGAGCGCTACGCTGTCTAGAATTTGTCTTGAGCTGGGATGTTGCACGTTTTCCTCAATGTGAGATCAGAGGAGAGGAGAAAGAGCGCGTCCAGAGATGCAGATGACCTGTTCCTTGCTATTCTTAGGAAGGCAGTAAATACTGAGTTCTTCCACAGATTTTTCAGGGAGCACTTTGGCTTGGCTTTGTGTTGATGCTCCTTACTGGCACGCCAGGGTGAGTTAGATTTGCTTTTGGGTAATGGGCTTCACGTGTGCTTGCTGACAGTATACAAATACTGTAAATAAATAAATATACATATCTGCAGGTGTTGAAATAGAGCCACCACGTACCTCTGATCAGGTCACTCAAAACCTTTAAAGCAATGAGCTGTTCTAGGCTTCCCCTGGAGTTTCATAGCTGTTTGTCTTTAAGAGGATGCCTGATGATCTCAATTCCGTACATCCCACACCCCCAAGTGCCCCCCAGTTAGCCCCCAGCCCCTCCCTCACCTCTCTGTCCAGGCTGGCTTTGCTCAGGGAGATGAAGCCTGTTTTCGAATCGATGGCGAACATATCTCTGAGCGGCTCTGGGGGCTCCTGGCTGAGGATGGAGTAAGACACAACCCCGTTGAGGCTGTTCACGGCATCATCTTGGTCCGTGGCTGACACCTGCATCACAACGGTACCTGGACAAGCACAGCAAGGCCCTGTTCTACACGCAGCGCATTGTTCCAGCCCGGCCAGGGAACAGAAGCTGCCCCGGGCAGTTGGAAAAGGTCATCTGGCCTCGGAAGCAGGTCACAAACTCCGTGATTCTGCTGGGCTGCAGCTGCCAGCTTTGTAGAACCTCACACCCCAGCTAAAGAGGAGGAAGTCCCTCAGGCGTGTGGCGACAGAGCCCTTGCAGACTCGCCAAGAGTCCAGAAATGAGATGCATTCTCAGTAGAAGAAAGCCCACAAACCCTTTGCTGTAGCTGACCATTTACCCTGCCCCAGGTAGGTCTGTCTCACACATGTGCACACAGGTACACACCTGGCTGGGCTGCTTCTGGGACAGATCCCCGGAAGACTTGCTGGATAAACTTGGGCCTGTTGTCGTTCTGGTCCAGGATGTTGATCACCAGAGTCATTGGCATCTCCACTTCTTGGCCATTTGCTGCGACTGCGTGGCAGACGAGCTGCAGAGTGGGAGCAGACCAGGGCCATTCCCTGGGAAACTGCGGAAGACCGGTCCCACCCCTGGAGGCCTTCAGCGGAAGGAGGAGAAAGGGGTCCCAGAAGGAGAAGGCAATGGAGACTCACCTGGTAGCTGGGAATGTTCTCTCTGTCCAGCGGGCGAGTCACCTTCAGCCAGCCAGTTTCCCTCTCGATGGTGAAGGTGCCGATCGGAGGGCTGTCAGCCCCCTGTCCTGTGATGCTGTAGAAGACAGTGGTCTCTTTTTCCTTGGTGGATTTGATCTGATTGGGGAGACGGGATGGAAACGTCAGTGACGGGGACGGGACGACCGCGCTCTGCCCCTCTCCACCCCCGAATG